ATCCTTAGTATGAACAGGCATTGTCACTATACACACATATCACAAAAAATTAATGACAACACCACTATTAAGGCCTGAGAAGGAACCGGGAACCGCTTTCTAAACGTTCAGGAATCTAGGGATGAGCCTCTAATCCTATTCGACAGAAGGGGAGGAGTATGGGCCGAGTGAATGTAAAACCTAACAACTATTAAAAAAGTTACTAAGTTTTAACTTAGCAAAAGTCGAGATGTCCATTGGAAATTCAACAAAGAATTAAAACTGGCAAAGACCTACATCTGAAAGAACTTTAAAAAAAAGAAAGAAAAATTTTCTTTGACAACTTCTGATTTGTGTATAGTCAAATACAACCGTCTGTCGGATTCCCAGATGGTTACTGTGTGATACTATGGACACCCACATAAAACAGGAATAGTTTGTTTTATCTTGATCTCAAATGTTTCTGTTTGATAGATCAGCAGATGTTTCCTTTTGAAGTTTGATCCTCTAAGTGACATCCACTTTGACCAAAGAGGAATGAGGAGTACAGGAGTAGATTAGGGATTTTTGGAGATCAAGTGGCAACAGAAGCGGAAATAGGGTATATCCAGGTGCAGGTCTATATTAACATTCATGCTTGGGATGATAGAAAGTTCTGGTCAGCCGTTGGTAGGAGAAGGATGTGTGTCATGTGGTTCCTGAAATTTTGTACCTATGTGATATACTGGAGACTCATGTAGAAGGGTAAGAAGAGATTTTATCTCAATCTCAGGCGTTTCTGTTTGATAGACTATTAGGTGTCCTTTTGAAGTTCGGTCTTTTAAGCGGTATCCACTTTAACAAATGAGTAATGGGGAGTAGAGGGGTGGGCGAGAGATTTTTGGAGATCAAGTGACAACAAAAACAGAAATAAGTTATATCCGGGTGCTGATCTATATTAACAGTCATGCTTGGGATCGAGGAGAGTGCTGATCCGCTCTTGGACCTACCCTTGTCCGTGTCGCGGTTCCGAGGTTTCCATTTCATTTAGCCAACCACCACGTCAGTATGAGTGGATGTTCAAGGAGTTGGTATGTTTGGGGAGAGCTGACATAGCAGAAGTTGTCTTTAGTTTCACGTACATGCTACCCCGGACGAGTATGCGAAGCCCTGATTGAAACAACAACGTGTAATAAGGGAAACTTTTATGCATATAAGTTATTTCGATCATAACTTGTGATAAAAGTATTTTCTATGGCTTGCTATGCTTTACCGTTTATGAAGGTAAAATACATATTTGGTGAAAATAGAAATGACCCATGTGACACAATGGGTCCCCGCTTGATTGGCTTAGAACACTCAAATAGTCAAGTTATTTTTATCTGGGCCTAAATCTTCAGTTTTTTTTATGACAACCAACAGTAAAATCTAAATGTGAAATCTTCAAAGTAACCACCCAGTATCCACAAATAGGATAAAAGGAAATAAAGTAAATAAATCAATGAGAATTTTCGAGATCAAGTGTCCCTCTGTTGGAAGATAGGCATATCCGGTCGTGGGGTTATATAGTCAAGCCACATTTTAGAATGGTCAATTAGAAGCCTTCTGTGGGGCACTTCGACGTGGTGAAATGGTTAACAAGTTTGTTTTGCTAGATAAACTACGATTAAGCAAGGAGTTAGATCCTCACTGGGTGCCTCATACTTTTGACTTTGTGCCACACTTAAGCTACGCTTAAAAAGTAATCGTTTAAATCACAGAACTGTAATATAAGTTGCTATGATTGCGGATAAGGACAAGATGTGAGCAAGCAACCTTCGCAAATGATTGAACAGGAAAATGACATGGAGAGAACCAATACAGCATGTGGTAGCTCTGCATGGTACCTCTAGTTCTAAAAGACTTATCAAAGAAGGAAAAACACACTGTGTCGTATCCAAGCATTCCATAAGTTATTGTAGCAATATACAACGGAGAAGAACTACCTGTTATTGTTTACTTGAATCGGAAGAAGTTAAAGTTCTAGATTATCAATGTTACATGACAAATTTTGACCAATTTCCTTTCTCTGAACGACACTACATAACTGTTATATTTAACGCCCGCCACGTGGGTCGTATGTGGTACAAAGCCGGTGTATTGTGGGTTTTCCGAGCCCGTAGGCTCGGCAAAAAATATTCCCTTTGAACCCGTATAAACGGGTTCAGGGCCTGTCTACCTCCCCGGACGACACTTTGCCCTTCGGCAAAGCCTCGTCCGGGTTCCTCTCCGCCGAGACGGAGAGTTTGACACTCATGAGCGGTTTCGAACACCGTTCCAAACACTACATAACTGTATAACTTTGAGATTTGGATTTACCTAAACAGGGTTGTTAGGATTTAGACTACAGCAGTGACCTTTCCTAGCAACTGATGAATTAGAGTTACAATTTCTGCAGCTCTCAAAAGAAATCTTGTTGTAGCATACCTAGGGACGATAATGGGTATGTCCCCATTCACATAAATGCAGAGGTAAATACTGTATGTTCGTATTCAGTTGGAGATTCGTCTCTAGCTGTGCTGGTCAAGCTCTCTGCCTCCGGGTAGAGAGAATCCCCAGACGAGGCGATGTCGAAGGGAAGAGTCTCATCTCAAGAAACAGCTACCCAACTTCGTTTTATACGGGGTCTACGGAGAATTTTTGGCCAAGCCTACAGGCTCGGATATCCTACATTAAATTCGGGCTTGTGCCACATCTGAAAGCGTTGGGTGGTTGGTAGATATCCTGCAGTTGAAGATTCATTGTAGAATTCACTTGACTCACTCCTAGCAGTTGATTACTTCTTCTACGCACCGCTGATGAATCTTATATGTGTTGTTCTTGTCCTAAGTATTATTGTTTATTACCAACTTTCGTGTGATTATTCTATTCAGTAACTTTCCCTAGGTTACAACAAATCTTGAACTCTCTTCTTTATGAAAGGTAATCTTATGGCTTGCAACAATATCAACGGTCTGAGAGAAGCTCTCAACGTCTTTCATGATCCATTCAAGACGTTGACTGTTCATAGATTCATCGAAGATAAGTTGCATAATAGAAAATGTTTGCCATCAATTATATTTGGTTTTGCAATCCGTATAAAGCAAATATGACAACCTGAAATTAAATTTAAACCTAAATTATGGCCAGTAGATGACTTACAAGTTTTTTTCGTCTTCAGTTTTGATATACAAAGTTCAGCTGTGAATCTGATGGTGGTAGAGAGATACTGACTGCACCAGAAAAAAACTGATCCCTCCGTTGGGCAATGGGGTCTGGAAAAAACATTCATGACTTAGTGAATTGTGTAAGATTTTGTCGCAACCCTAGCATATCAAATTGGACTTGATAAAGAATAAATAGGTTTTCGGCACATAATAATAAAATTTGAAGTTAGTAAAAAAAAAAAAGAAAGAAAAGTTGAACTGATATTTCTTCTTTTTCTATATGTCGTGTCCCTTCAGGACAAAATACAATTTCCTGTCTTTTGTAGCTCTTAATTAATTGTATCTTTTTGTTATTTCTCCTAAACCTTCTTGCACCATCCATTTACTCAAGCACGCTAAGTAGGTTATGCGTTGTTTTCCTGTGTCATTCATGCTTTCAATATGTTATGTGAGTATAAGTTTTTCCAATTTATCTTTCCTCATTTTGTGTCCAAGAAATTTCAATTATCTTTTCCTGGTGTTTTTGTTTCCATTTTCTCTGAAACTTCATCATTGCTCACATATTTGATCCCTGGTTTCCTCAGCAGCCTTTTGTAGAACCACATTTCTATTGCTTCAAGTCTATTCTTCATTTGTGAGGAGACTGTCCAGCATTCACCGTCATATAGAAGGACTGTTATTATATAATAGTTGGGTACTTTTTTCTTTGTTACCCTTTCTTAATACTTTCATTATCTTTTGGAATGCATCTTTAGATTTCAGAGTCACACTTTCCGTCCTCTGTTAAAACACTTCCCAGATATTTAAATTCTTGTACTTTTTGATTTGGTATCTCCGCTTTGTAATTTGTACACTGGGATGCTCCTTTTGCTAACAACCATGCATTTCGTCTTCTTGTAGTTGATGTCTCCTCACTTTCTGACACTGCCTTCTGTAGGAGTTCTTGTAGTTTCTTTCTCGTATCTGCTATCAACAGTGTGTCATCTGCATATCTTATGTTGTTAAGATTGTACGTTTTAACATACCTAACATAGTTTAGTCTTTTCTTCTTGCTTTCCTTTTTTACTTACTGTAGGAGTTCTTGTAGTTTCCTTTCTGTGGTTGTTATCAACACTGTGTCATCTGCATATCTTATGTTAAGATTGTGACCGCCAATAATGAATCCTGGTAAAACTTTTAATTCTTTCAGGATCGCTTCACTTTTTCTTTTTTTTTTTTTTTTTTTTTTTGCGTTTCACCCCAAGCAAGGCGGGAAGCCAGTAGGACGCAAGGGGTTACAGAGAGTTGAAGCGAGAGAAAATAGGAGTGATAGAGGAAAGGATGAGGAGAAAGGATAGGCGATAGATAAAGGCATCTGGAGACGTCGATTGACATTACATTTGAATAGATGGAGATTATAACTATCAGGGAAACAGGAAAAGCGGAGGCAGTTTCACAGGCGAGAAGCTATTGGAGTAGAAGAGACGACTATATTTAATAGTTTCGACGGTGAAAGCGAGATGTCAGCCTAGTTAAACGTTTCTTCTTCTTCTTCTTCTTCTTCTTCTTCTTCTTCTGTGCTGCTTCACTTATATTTGATTTGATTTGATTCATTGATTTATTTTTTACAGCTTATCAACCTCTTGCCGGTTATTTAAAGCCAGAAAATATTTTGAAATTCTAAGAAATTTTTGGAGATGATAAAACTTTTACTGGCATAGATCTTACTGACACATAGTTTAGGAAAGAGGAGATGAGTTCATACCTTTCCCAGTGGTATTTGCGCGTGTGAATATGACTAACCCACCAGGAATTGAAACTCGTCTCTTCGATTTTCAATCCCGAGCCTTTATTCATTACACCACCTGCACATCCAAGCTTACAGCAACTGGTATTCCCAGGCAGTCACTCATCTAGGTACAGACCAGGCTCGATGTTGCTTAACTTTGGTGATCGTACAGGAATTGGTGTTTCAACGTGATATGGCCGTAATCTTGTCATATTTGAATTCAGCTCCTTAAAATTCATCATAAATAGTACATTTTATGGCAAAATTGTTATCCTGTGACATTGTATATGATCATTGAATCATATTGTGGGGACCTACCTACAAATGGACTCTTGCACATCTATATAATATGGCTACCAACTCTGAGTAAAGGGAGTCACCAAGTGAGGGTCACCGAGTGAGTGAATGAGTGTGTCAGGACACCAGTGAGAGAAAGTACTTGTTGCGGGGCCGATAAAGAATGTCGCCCCCGCAAGCTTTTACGAAGAAAGGTGTGAACAGCTAAGACAATGAGGAACAAAGGCAGAGGTTTAAAATAACAAACATCGGATTTATTTGTCGATCTGGACAAATGTACGTACAGGAATTGTTTGGTGTAGTTCGATCGTGAAGTCAGGGAGTGCCAGTTGAAAGATCGTTGTTAGGGTTCTAGGCGGCAGCTCGGAGGGAGGTAGATGGAACAGCGGTATTCGAGGTTCAGTCGATACCCGGATGTTCGTCCTTTGTAAAGAAGCGCGTCGGCGTTTTTGAAGAGAGAGGATCAGCGTAGACAGTGCTGGGGTAGCCTGTTCGTCCTTAGAATGTCAGTCGTGTAAGAACGCGGCTTGGTAGTCCTTAAAAGGACTATCGCATGTAAGACGGTTAGTTAGTCCTTAAAAAGACTATCGCGTATAATGTGGCTACGTAGTCCTTAAAAGCACTATCGCATATAACGTAGCCAGATAGTCCCTAAAAGGACCATTGCATATTATGTGGTCAGGGTAGTCCTTAAAAGGACTGTCGCATATAACGTGGCCAGGTAGTTCTAAAAAGGACTATCGCATATCATGTTGCTAGGCTAGTCCTTAAAAGGACTATCGCATATGATGTTCGGCTGCTGCTGCTGAAGTTGGTTCGGCCAGCTGCTGCTGCTGAGGTTGGCTTGGCACGCTGCTGAAATTGGTCCGGCCCGCTGCTGAGGTGGGTTTGGCCCGCTGCTGCTGCTGAGATTGGTTGCGAGAGTGAGAGTGGGAAGCACGTCGCTCTACCCTGGGGCCAAGTCAGCCGAGTTGGCCGAGTTCCTTGGTGGAAGAAATCGGCTGTGTTTATGTCGGCTGCGGTTAGCATCGTAGCCGGTTGGCGATGTCTTTTGGTTGATGACTAAAAATTACCTTCCGCATTTTGACTGTACACATGGGTTTCATTTGGACACCATGTGTATATAAAGTAGTTTTTGGTCATTAATTTTAGTTAGGAGGACTTGTGTATGTTTATATTTCATTTGTTTTGTTTTTTGTGTATCGTTCTGTGAAAAACGCTGAGTCACCGGAAATTAACGGCATTCGTTCTGTTTCTCGCGGTGACGCTTTCGGACGTTTGAGTAGCCGGCAGTAACTTCCGACCGGGTGCGATATACTCTCCAGTCCACGTTTACCTTTGTACTACGTTTCCGAGAATATACTATTTAACCTTATATCCGAGTCCGTGTTATCTTTCTATGGTTCTACTAATATTGATGCGACGAAAGATTTTTTAAGTAACGATTGTCAATATCTTGCTTTCTTGTAGACAATAATTAAATTGATGACGATTCCAGTGAAAATAACAAAGAAAAATAAAAGAACAACTCTTAAAATTCCCAGTTTTATTTCATCATATGACATTTTTAAAAAGTAATATATAAACATATATGAATAATGTAAATTCTTTTCAAATCAATTAATTCCGCATGAGTGAAAGTTAAACATGGGGATACAGTTAGTTCAGTTTTTGATATTGTTGGTAAAAATTAAATAAACTGCTGACAAATGAAAAAAGAACTGATTCATTCCTATATAATATTTTATACATTAAAACTATCAGCAAGTTTTAATAAAGTCTCATAATAAAATAATAACAAAAGCATGTGGCCACAGAAAACATCATAATCATATTGATGGCCATTTTTTTCGAAGCGCTTTGATTAGTTGCTGTGGTTGCAATAGGCTTTCTTTCTCCGGTTGTTGGTTGGGATGATTCAAGTTTTATGGTACTAGATGTAGTAATTAGATCCCATTCAGATGTGTGCGTAACTTCTTTGCATAATAACGACTTATTCAAATTCTTCAAAGTGACTCCTGCCATTTCAGTTGGCCCCAAACATTTATTCTTATGCAAGAATTTTTTGAATGCTGTCTCAGCCTTCCACATCCAAATCAAACTGCATTTGCATTGAAGTTTATTCAAATAGAAACTGTCTAGTGCTACAGATTCTTGAATGAAAATTGTCTTTATCTTGTTCAAATAAATACTAATTGGGGAATTGGTAGTGAATGCATCTTTCTCCACCGTATCGATCGCATTGTTATAAAATGCTATATTCTTGTGGATGCTTGTGGAGTTAAATACGTTTGTTTCTAATGTTGTGATTTTGTTATTGTAAATATTTAAAAGTTCTGCCGTCAATCCTTCAAATAACAAAGCCGGCATCACATCAACTACAGCATTATAAATACTAAGACTCCTGCATGATAATTTTGAAAAAGCTTCAGGTTCGAAATGTTTTATTTGGATATTATAAATAGAGATGACTATATTTTTCGATAAATCCCCACTTGGTTGTACGATGGCATTTGCAGGAATGTTTACAGTCTTTTCACGAATGCTTAAGCTTTTGATTGCTCTGGATGGGAGGTGAATTGGGAAAACCGGACTGGTGCAATCGATCATATCATGAATACAGAAGCAACCTTTTGGGCAGAAATCGGCAGTGGCCATTGTTTGGTAAAGGAGTGACAAGGTATACAACGATAATAATCGGATGTGTAGTTGCATATTGAATCTGAAAATAGAATAAAATAAATGCAATTTTAGGGGGAAAAAAGAGGCAAAAGAACATTGTATCCTAAATAAATACAGTTTATTTTATTTTTTGATCAAATTCACCCATACAAGGCAGTAAAGCCACTAAAATATAAGGGGTTACTGAGTGTGAAAGAATTAGAAAACAAACCTTATTAAGGAGCGAGAACAATAGAAATGTAATCAGGAAGATTAACGATTGTCATTGCATTTAAACTTTTGAGGATTCAATTTGGCTAGAAAGCACGGAGCAGAAAGAGTGTTCCACAAGCGAGAAGTCTGAGAAAAGAAACTGTTAGAAATTATGGTTACATCTACCTAATTCAACTGTGAACTGATGAGACCTTGTTGCTAATCGACAGTAGAACTGCCCTTAAATTTATAAAGTTTAAGTACCATGACGAAGAGCTCATCTAAACAATTACCATGAAAATATTTTTAGAAAAGGCACTGGGAAGATACTTTGCAGCAGTCGGAAAGTGTTTGAAGCCGAGATGCCAGGTCAGGACCAATAATATTGCTAAGTTTTTTTGATTTTATAAAAAAAGCTTTAAATATATAGCCTGAGCAGCGGACCATATGTGGCAGTAATATTCAAAGCATATATATTTTTTAATCAATATTATTTCTCTCATTGATATCTTTACAAAATCCGCATCAGACCAAAAATGAAGTATTGCTGACATATCTAGTCTGGACCTTACCAATCATCACATTCTAGCCTTTATATGTTCAGCTGAGACCAGATTCTCTTTATGGTGGTAATCCATCTTTTTTTTTAACCCGACTCTACACTTGGTGGCTAAGAGGTAGCCTTCTAGGTCAACCCTCTGAAGCACCAAGCTTTTTTGACGTTGTAATGTCACATCGAGTACAAAGCTTACTTTGTTATCTAGTGGGGGGAATCCAGAGACCTCCAAAGATCTACTCTTCTCAGATCAAATCTTCTTAATGGACATTAAATTCGATTCATACCATATGATATTTTATGGTGTGAATCAGATGCGACAAATGAAACTGTGGGGTGTAGAATCAGATTCCTACATTTTTTTAAATCTTAAATTTTGTGCAAGTTAAACACATAGAGGCTCCCAGCCAAATATAACAACTGATGTATTTTGATTGGTTGTAAAATATTAATTAGGTGGCGTCAACTACGTCCGAAGGTACCGACCCAAATTTTGACCTCTAGTTGACGCCATAAAATGTAAACATGTTTACGAGCCTCCCACGTGACCAAGAGAACTAATAAAAAACGAAACTTCGACGCGACTTGGTCAGTGGGCACTTAAAATATTGAAACCAATTCACTTGACTTCATTGGAAATCAACACAGCAAAGGAGACGAACTTTATCTTCAATACAACAACAAACTTTGTCAACCATCTCCAGGCTTAACGCTCACTCCCACAAAATATTCCATTCCACAAGAATCTCTGGTTAATGAGCGATAACAATCAGTGAGTCAAGAACAATACTTTTTTCTATTTAATACACAAAAAAACATCTGTTTAATTTTCCTACAAAAACAAATATAGCTAACTAAACCTTGTCATTTTCACACATACAGTACAGTAGCTCAAATTCTTTCAGTAACACACACCAAAGAACCCTATTGTGTTTATCAACTTTTGCACTATATATCATGTATTTGTTGTGTTTATAAAAAAATATTTATTGTTGAACAAATTCACATTTTCTTCTACTTGTTTATTTCTCTTGTTGTTGTCTTTGTTACATTTGATATTTTAAAAATTGTAGAGGGTCAGTTTTTATTTCTGTTTATAACCAATACAAATTGGCTGACCCACTATAGGGGTCAGTGCTGTGGTTTTAAGATTGGACGTGAAAGACTCTGCCTTCCTGTTTGAATTTCGGGCGTTCCTATATCCTCCAGTCATTTGGCCATCTTTAATATAATATTATCCTATTTTCAGTTGAGATGACTTCCTGTTTATGTTGGTGGTCCATTTTTTGTGGCCCGATTCTACTATGAGGTTGACTTCTAGGTCAATTTTTTGAGGCACCAGGCTTTTTTGACGTTCCGGTGTGAAACCGATTACAAAGATTATTTTGTTGTCTTATGGGGTAAATCCAGTACATACTAAAACACCCACAGATCAAGTCTTCTCAGATCAAATCTTCCTGATTGACATTAAGTTC